GAAACCATCAATGCTAGAGCTGGCTAGAGATCATCTAATTTGGGTTAAAGACTTGATGTACAGTAATGACAACAGTTGGAATGATTGGTTGGTGAAACATTTTTTCAACTCAGTGGAGAGCCAAGCTATTTGGATATCTAAACTTTAAATCCTACTAAAAGTGACAGAATGTTTTAGGGTCTAGAGAAAAAATGGGGTACTTTCTGTTTCTTCTTCCTCTGAATTTCTTATTCATAGGTAAGTTCAAGGCATGGATATTCGAGAGTGAAGCTCAAGCAAGAACTCTACCATAGCTGCTAGAGCCAGAAGCTGGCAGTTGAAAATTCAAAACAAACTGAAACACTTTTTATGGAAGTGCTTCTCAGGCACTCTCACTGTCAAAGTAAATCTGGCTATGAAGGGCATGAATGTTGATGTTATATGTCAGTCTTGTGGTGATGCTCCGGAGACTATTGAGTACGTTTTCTTTTTTTGTGAAAGGGCTAAAAGACTTTGGGATATTGGCCTTGTTCATTGGGGTGATATGTGTCAGGCAGAAATCAGCTTCTCTTCTTGGTGGTAGCATATATGCACAATTGGCCACACGATAGTCCAGGAGGAGAGGATCCAGCTTACTACGTATATGCTTTGGTGGCTATGGAAATCGAGGAATTTATGGTTGATTAAGGAGACTAAATTGCCAATTACTGTGGTGATTAAAGCTGCTATCAGAGACTTGAAGGAATTCTCCTCTCCGTGGTCTAAGATGTTTGGTCTCTTGCCTTTGTTTTTTTTATCTGTGATTTCTAGTTTTTGTGGTAGTTTTCGGTTATGGCATGGAGGAGCTATTGTAACTAGGATTATGCAGTGGTTAAGTTGGCCTTCTAATTAATTTTAGTTTGGTTGTTGGTTTATTGGTCCCTTGAAGGGGGTTCTAGGCTACTTGAAGCTTGTCCTCTCAATTTGTATTTTCGGCTTTTGGTCGCTATCTCTGTATTCGAACGTTGTTCCAGTTGAGTTTATAATACCTCTATCGTTTCGAAAAAAAAAAAGAGTACAATTGATGATCAAATTATTGCGATTGAATACTTTCTTTTTCTTTCTTCTTTGTAAAATGTCAACTAGTTAAAAGGTTAATGAGTTACAAAAATAAATTATATATAGTTTGTAATTACAGAACTTAAAATCCTAATGCATAATTCTGATGAGTTATAATATTATACAACTGCCTCAGTTATATATATACATATATATATATATATATATATATGAGGGCTACGCTCTAGTGAGAATGGTGCTCAGTGAAATAAATAAGATACATCATAGCCGTTAGATCGAATGATCTAATGGCTTAATAAAAATTCAAACTTATATCATCATTAAGGGCATTGTGGTAATTTTTCACACCACACACAAAGAAGTGGACCCTACTCCACATTAATACCCTACTCAACTGCTAACCACCACTGGTCAACCATAGTCGGCCCCACCCCTCCTCTCACCCACCTCCCTCTCTCTCTCTCTCTCTCTCTCTCTCTCTCTCTCACTCACACACACACACATACAGATACCAGCAGTCGCAAAGGCGGTCACAGTGCTGCTGTGGCTGGGCGCGGCTGCTTCGATGCGCTCGTGGGTGGTTGCTGAGCTGCGTGCGTCGGCAACGTGCGAGAGGGCCTGAAGGCCAACTTTTGTGAGGCTAATTGAGAGAGATTTTTGGTGTTTTTGGGGAGGCTATTGATGCTCTAAACTTGATGTGTCTTGGACGAAAAATTAAAGGGGAAAAACTGATTTTGGTCAAGCCTTGGAGAGGGGGAAACTAAGGGGATGGAAGGAGTTCTTTTTGCCTTGTTTATAGAGGGTAGGGGATTGTCAAGGGGGAGGTATATGGGTGATTGTGATATGATTTGAGTTAATGACCAGCTGATTGAAGGGGAATAAAACTTACTCTAATGGTCACTAGGAAGAATTTGAAATTCAAAATCAACAAGAGTAAAAAACAAGAGGGGTCGTTGGGGCAGTTTCTTAAGCACAAAATGGGGTCGGGTTTATGCTTCACTTGGGCCAACATATACTACCTCACTTGAGCTGAAAATGAAAGCTCAAGGGCAAAAAAGAATTGGACTTTCTTGGACACAAAAATAGGATAGCAACAGGTTCGAAAAAAAATAAATTAATCCAAACAAAAATCGAATAGGTAATGAATTTATGAAAATTCGAATAATTTAAATAGACGAGGACGTAAGAATAAATTATTTAACTCAAGGGTTAAATAGACGATATTGTCTAAACATTCTCGAATGACTTAGTCGAGCCAGAAAAATAAAAGCAATAAATTGCAGAAATTAAATAAAATGAGTTGTCTTCTTGTTAGTCGAATGGGGCACTAACCGATTCCCAGCGGTGTCACGCCTGACCGATGGCTTAGACTTCGCCGCAACTCCGCCAGGCAGCCGTGCCGCCGTACGTGCTAGAGGTCTGATATGCTGCTGCCATCCACCTTAACAACGAATCTTGGACAAAATCCGACAACCGGTCGCCGTTGACGGGATCTTTGTAACAGCCATCACAGAGCTCGCAGTTACGTGCACATGTCGCCGTCGTTGGTCCATCCTCTGGAGCTCCATCGTCGTCGTTCTCCATCCATCTCCATCGGCGGTCGATTTCACCCACCTCCGCTGGAAGTTGGCGTCGGAGCTCTGGTCGCGGCGGGAGAAGCTGCAGGATAAACGACTGAGGCCGCTGAACACATCGACGTCGGATCTCTCAGCCGGAGATGGCTGAACGATGCTAGTGGAGTGGTGGGGAGGATGAAGACAGATTTGGAAATTAGGGCATGATTGGAGAAATTAAATAACTCCAAGGGGCCTGATTGAAATTTGATAAAATTGATTATATTTAAAGTTGGTACATGTGTCAAATATGTAATTTATAGAACATTTAGTAAATATATGTTAATAAGAAATAAATTTACAATGTATTGTGTATATTCATATTAAATATATATGCATTGTGATACGAAATGCACATTAATGACCGACACATTGCACATCAATGACTGTCGGACTGCACCATATAGCAACCGAAATAGCATTAACTAACTTATTATGTTCAAATTTGTATAATAAAGTTCAACTATGTGTTTACTTTTAAAATTTTGGTTAATTTAGTTTCGACTTTACAAATAAAAAAACGAAATAACAAAGAAGCTAAATTATTTAAAAAAAATATTATCATTAATATATTTTTATCTCAATATATTGTCAAATTCACTCGAAAACAACGATAAAATAATATTAACATACGAAATATATTTTTATAATAAAACACAAACAATTTCAGGGATTTAGTGAAAATCTAGTAACTGATCGAATAAACTGATTAGTTCAATACAACTTTAGGTAGTTCAATTTATATATCAATACGTTGACCACCAGAAACTGGGAGTTGACCGCCGGCCGGCGGCCTTTGACCGGTCCACGGCTTGCCGGAATTGGATTTCGACGGAAATCTTCAATCCTTGTCGTCTCTGCCGCCGTCAAAGACCTCCGGCAGCTTGTGACGAGCCCACCGCCGGAGAAGAACCAAGCTCTGAATGTCGCCGGCCTCCCCAACCTCTCCTAGACTCAGTTCCGACTTTCGCCAGAAAAGGGTGTGCACCTCCAATCGGCAGACATTGGCCGACCAGCACTAGGTCTGCTTCCTCGGTCGGACTTCTGCCTCGCGGTCCTCGCCTGCAGAGTGAACTTCGGTCTCCTGCAACAGGTACTCGCCGGTGGTGCCAGCCATGACCGCCACCTCGCAGTCCCGTCGGCAGACACTATGTCCGCGAATGATCTACTACTGCGGATATGACAACACTCCTCCCCATTGAGCCACGACGGCTAGAGGATCGCCCATCTCGACTGATGGGGAAATTGGGAAACTTTTTTCAGATCTGATTTTTGGGACTTGGGGCAAGGATTTTTTCTGAAAATTAGATATATTTTGAAGATTAAATTGTAATTTCAAAAACTTATGATTTATTGCAATTTTGTCTTTGGGGTCAAAATGTAATTAATTTAAAGTTTCAATAACTACACTTTGACCCTTGGGTTTCATAATTATATAAGTAATGCATATTTATTTTGTTTCTTGTGCAAATTTAGATATTACACAATGCATATGTTAATTATAAATTATGTAACTTAATAGAGGATTTTTTAATTATATTTTAATTAAATATATAATGATGCTTATTTAGTTAATTCATGATGCATATTTAGTTCATAAGAAATGCATATTTAGTTCATCCATAGTGCATATTTGTTATATTTAACTTAAATATATAAATACATATTTAGTTAATTCATAATGCATATTTAGTTAATACAAAATGCATATTTGTTATATTTAAATTAAATAAATAATTAGTACATACTTAGTTTATTTATTGTGCATATTTAGGAAATACGAAATGCATATTTTAGTTCATAAAAAGTGTATAGATAGATAGTTGATATCATTGTTGGATATCTCTCTTATCTCTCTTATGAAGAAGTTATAGGCTCTTAAATGGCGACAAGTGGCTTATTCTTAGCTTGACATTTGGCATTTGATTATGCAATTACTTCATTGCCCATTTTGGGACAAACACAAAAAACCTCTAACAAGGACAAAAGGGTCAATTGGATGCCCTTTCAATTTTTATGTGTTTTGACTAAAATTTCCTGTTGCATTCACCTTTTGAGGGGTGTAGACGTAATTTCTCATACCTGCTTATCTTTCTGCCGTGCTCGGACGTGCGTCTTCAATCAATTGTGTCTTCTTCTCTGTACTGATAAGATTTGTTGACCATATGTTTCATTCTTCATTTTGTGTCTACACATCACGTTCCTTCATTGTTAAGTGAAACTTGCTTCTACAGAAAATTACCCATCCCATCCCATCCTCTCAAACCCTTTCTTCCCAAACCCTTTATATAGAAAATCAATGTTTCAACACACTTAAAATCTCTTCCACAAACATCCAATATTTTAGGGGAACTCCTCGCTGCTAGCGTCGCCTATGCAGGGGACGACGGAGCTCCAATCGGGCCGGAGTTAATGGTGGACAGCCCACTTGATGGCGAAGGCCGATTCCTCGTTGAGTAAGAGGGGCTTAGGACTCGCCGTCGGCCTATGTGCCGCCGCCTTCTTGCATGCTCAGACCTACTACTTGCTCGTCGTCCCTACCTGCTCAATGCGTCTCGTAAGCTTCATTTTTTCCCCTTTTTAGTGGTGATTTGAAAAATGGGGTTCGAATTAGGGTAAGTGTTTTGGAGATGGGTTCAGATTTTGGTTTGTCCATCTGAATTTTGTTATGTTTCGAAGAAAGTATTGATTTTTTTGTCACTGCTTCCTAATTATAATTGTTGTGCATGGTCGAATGCGTTTTTGGGTCACTACTGTAAGTTTTAGTTCATATTTTATCACTACGGATAATTGAACGTTTTTCTCCTTTATCTTGGATATTGACTGCCTGTGTCAGCTCCGGCATGCCTGCCACTGTCGAGTTGTACCCGTGCAGTAGGCTCGCCAGCTGCACTTTGACCAGAAGTATTTTTACAACTTTTTAGGGCGCCCTTGCTAAAGTCCGGTACGTGATTTGTTTGATGATTTTGTTTTGTTTTTGGTATTTGGTTGTGGGGGGTGCCAGTGAGTGAGTCTATTTGTATTTTGCTTTTTTTTTTTGGCATTATTAATCAAACTTTGAAGTTTGGCTAGGAATTGAATGTGTAGTCAAATTTTGCAATTGAGGAGTTTGATTTGTCAGGCCTATTGGAGAGGTTGAGGCCATTCAACATAAAGAGGAGGGGATCGGTCGATGAGAGATCGTTGAACGAGATGTCGATCTCATCCCCATCCCGTCAGTTCTACAGGAACAACGACAACTTTTACCGCATTTTAACACCTTACGGAGCATTCATTTGCAAGGGGAGAGATCAGAATTTAGCACGCATCGGTCGTTCTTTGCATGGATACTCACCTGGTCATGACTGAGGCTTGGGTAGCCTTGCAGCACTCAATTCTTCATTTTCAAGGGCAGCCCGTGGGTACCAGTGCAGCTTTGGACCACTCCACTGGGGAACTTACTATGATCAGGTACAGATTTAACATGCTGGAAATATTATATCATTGTTCTTTATGCTGTGTGAATATTTCTTATTGTGTTTGCGGAGTTCTGTTTTACGTATGTCGATTTTTTTTTTATAACATACATTATTAATTAGTTTAGGTGTCCACAACACCTTGTACAAGAGTAATCCGCCTTTTAGTACTTTTTGTGTTCGCTTCTAATTTTCTTTTTTGTTCATTTGTTTTAGAATCGCTTTATAGATCCACATGTATTATGCAAGATTAATGGTATATGCTCCACAGAAAGTCAGTGCTCACACTAACAAGTCAATGCTTCTTAATTTTATTTTTTTGAAAAAAAAAATATTTGGAATCTGATGTGAAATAGGAAAGGAAAACTGGTATGGATCTGACATTGCTACACAATTGAATATCGTTTGAAAATGATTTCCCATGTTCAAAATGGACTTGAGACTATTGGATAGTGTTTTCCTTTAATGGTTACTTAGTAATTTATGATTTTGTTTCGAAAATTCTCAAGTTTTGTAATCTTGAAAGTTAATTATTCTTGTGTGGAAGACAACTTTGAAATTCAGAATTATTCACTAGGTAGAATTAGGTGAAATGCTTGTGAAAATATTAATTCGGCATGTCTAGATAATATATAGAGTATCTCACCGAATTAGCAATGATCCACAATCATATGATATATATAGCATGAGCTTAAATATATAGTGAATGATGTAATAGGGAAAAATGTTGAACAAAAAAATGAATTAGAGGAAATAATCTGAAAGCAAGGAGTTTTTCTACCCAACTTCTCTTGGCGACTACATTCACTGCATACGTGGATCCCTGTGAGATCATAATGTATGTATAATATATTTTATGTACCTGATGTAAAAATGATTCTTGTTTTGGAGTCTTAATATGTTTTGTGTTTTTCTAAATTATCTTAGTAAAATATTTATTGGTTTTCGTATTATCTGATACCACTTACAAGGTGTGCTTGCTTAAAGAAAATAGTGGAGGGAAGCAGAAGATGTAACTAACTCCAAATCTTTCTTTTTCTTTCCAGTTCGTATTTTGGCATTTTAGCTCGTTAATCTATATGTTTTAGATAAAATGATTAATTTCTTTCAGTTTTCCTAAATATGCAAAAAGAGAGAATGGTCAGGTTAGGTCTTTAATCTCAACTTTAATCTTATCAGAGTTTTCTGAATACAAAGTCGGTTAATAGGCTTACATGTTTATAGAGAGAGAAGCCATAATTGATGCAATGTGGAATCAAATGAATACAGGAGTTTCCGCAAAAACTGTAAAGTCCATCTTGGAAAACAAGGGCTCTGCCGCCAATAAGTCTTCTCAGAAAACTCCTGTGCAGAAATCATCAACACTCAACAGTATGTGAAAATGGGATTTTGACACGCTGAGATTCAAGGGAAAAAAGTGACAAGGAAATCATGAAGGAAATTCAGACCATCATGCGTCTTCGAGCATCACGTATTTGTTGTGTCTTGACGATCCTTGTAAGAATAATCATGTTAATTACATTTTATTGTAAGAACTAGAAAAGTACCTTTTTTTAATTACTCTCTCTCTCTCTCTCTCCCCCTCTCTCCCCCCTCTCTCCTAAGGGATATGTTCAATATGGTTTTCTGTTTGTTCTATTGGGTGTTTTTTACATCACACTGACAAAGATTGTAATGTCCTACTTACTTGGATCGAGAGGGCTCCTAAGTTGATTGTTAATCCACAGATGTTGAAACTGTGAAACTGTATTCTTTTGATACAAAGGTAGTAATAAGCAAATAAGTGAATGTCCTGCTGTTGGATTTTAGCTTGAAAAGAAAATCTGGTCAAGCTTGTTTGGTAATTTAATATAATGAAGTTTCTGTGTTTGCATATTCACAAGGTTGACACTTTGGTATCATACAAAAATAATGAGTGGGATGAGGCAAGAATTTGATGGGATCCATCAAACTTTGAGTTTATTTTAGTCACCCATTATTTAGGTTAAGATTGTGGTCCAAAAATGAAAAATGGTTCAAAATTTGCAGTCTTACAAGAGACGATAATACATGAATGTGGTGGTTCATTAGGCCGTACACCCCTAGCTAGATCAATATATCCATATAGCTCTTTACGGGATCCTACCTTTTATCCAAAAGGTTGCAACTTTGTTTGTTTTTGTTTGTGTACCCTTTTTCCTGGGCTCATGGGGTGAAATTTTTTTAGGCTTTTCTTATCTATGAAAATGTTGTGATTTTTATTATATTTTTTTTTGCCTCAATCAGGTATTGGTGTAAAGGGTCATTGTGATATTCTTCGACAAGGTGGCGTACCGGTCGAGAGATTTGTTTTCAAGTTGATAGTCTATGGTTGAGCAAGCTGATTTGGAGTTCTCTCTTAGGTCCTTTTTTGGTTAAGCTCCCTGTTTCAGTGCCTCGAACTAGGGTTCTTCCCCAACCTAAGTGTGGATTTTTTGTAGCTGTTTTTTTATTTTTTCCATCGGTATTGCGATTGTTTTCTCTATAAGAAAGTGATTTGGAGGAATAAATATTTGAGTATTTTTCAACTAACATATCAATTTCTTACGAGTTTGTGATACGCTGTCATATTCATGAAAGTCGTTTCAAAGTTCTTTCATATGCTTAGCACCTTTTTCTTTTTCAATATTTTTGTATGATAATTGGTACTATATTTGTTTCTTTCATTTTCATTACAACTTTGGGTCAGTTTATATATTACATAAGGACGTAAAAGAGCTTGCGGTAGCCTAGGAACCAGTATGAGTCGAAGAGTTGCAACTGCTGCTTCTTCAACTATAATTTATTCACATATTATTTCTTTTGTTTATAATTTACTTGAAAGTCAAACTTTGTCAAATATATTCAAAATAAACTTCCTTTGTATCTAATTTAACAAATTTTCACTAGATTTTAGATTAAATTTGAGACGCACGGCCGTAAGACGACTAGTATACTATATAATTAATTTGATAGAATATTTATTTTCATTTTATTATATAATTAATGTAATACATAATGCATATTTAATTCATTCATGATGAATATTTAGTTAATTCATGATGCATATTTAGTTCGTTGATTATGCACATTTAGTTAATACGAATTGCATATTTATTATATTTATATTAAATATATAATGATGCATATTTATTCAATTCATGATGCATATTTAATTCATTGATGATGCATATTTACTTCATCCATATTGCATATTTGTTATATTTAAATTAAATATATAATGATACATATTTAATTCATTCATTATGCATATTTAGTTCATTTATGATGCATAGTTGTTATATTTAAATTAAATATATAATGATGCATATTTAGTTAATTCATGATGCATATGTAGTTCATTAATGATGCATTTTTAGTTCATATTAAATGCATATTTTTTATATTTAAATTAAATATATAATGATGCCTATTTAGTCTATTCGTTATGCATATTTAGTTCATTCATGATGCATATTCAGTTGAATCATGGCCCGGGAAAATCCAGCACAAACATCACCTTCAGATCTCGAAGCGGTATTTACTGAGACGCCGGTAGATGCGGAAGCAAGTAGACCGTCGGAGGTTTTGGTTGCCGAAATGGAGAGAGACTGCTAACCGGTGGAAAGTTGGGCCTCCGACAGACTTAGGAGGTACTCCAAGTCGTCGGGAGGCCATTCACGGAACATTGCTTGGGTCTGGGAGACCGCCGCCAGTCGGCGGCGACCTTCTGTCTGTTCGGGGGTCTCCGGGAAGATCCTGGTGGGGAAGGTCTCCGGTAAGAAAAGGTGAAAGTTGCACCCTATAAGGAGTGACAGAATCTGAACAATCACTTGTTAGCTCTTTTTAACATTTAATCGAACAACTTCTGTGCATGATCTAATCTGAAGGGGCTTTGAATTTTGGAGGTGGCTGAGCTTCCTATTCCTAATGATGTGTTTCTTCTTTCCTTCTTTCTCGACAATCTTTACTTGATATCCTCAAACTTCAAATCGTTGCTTCAGAGTATAAGTAAAGCTAGACATATGTTCATTTGGGTTGGCAACCAATGAGTCTCACATACTCACTTTATATACATAGGGATTGGTTCCAATGATTCCACATACTTAAAGCCCGTGTTTGTTTTGTGGGATAGGCCAGGATATCCTGGCTTACCCTACACTTATCTCACATTTGTTTTGTGGGATGCATGCCCGGTATAAATGGTCGGCCTGGGATGAAAAAGCATTTTATCCCACTAAATTGGGGTAACTCCATCCCACCAATTTTGTCGGATTCATTTAATCCCAGAAAGTGAAATTTCGGTTCTACCCTCCATTTTTTTAATTTGGTAATAAAAAAATACAATTGAACCTGATATAAGTGGTAAAATAGTACTTTATAACCTAAAGCTGATTTATGTTGAATTAAATGATTATTTTAAAATGGAAATCTAAAAAGCTATCCTACACCTTATCACACATAACAAACACACCACTAAATTTATCCAAACACACTTGCACTAAAATAGTCCAATACCATCCTTCCAAACAAACAAGGGCAAAGTGAGTATGTGAGACTCATTCCTATTCATCCGATTTGCACAAGATGTGTGGCCATATTGAACTCTATATTTAAATAATAATTCTTTATTTTTATCATTTGATTTTTTATTTTATTATTTTAATTATTTAACTATTATTTTGACCATTGATCGTTGACCGTCGACTCTGGCATTGACCGTTGACTTTCGGCATTAACCGTTGACTTCCGACATTGACCCGTTGACCTTAGTATGCATCATGTATGAAGTAAAATCTGCATTCAACATTATGCACTTAATATGAACTAAATATGCATGGGGTATGAATTGTATATGCAATCCTTATGAACTAAGGACCTTTCTTCTTCTTGCGGAAAAGCCCCAAATCCGAAAAACCCTCGTCAACCTTCTTCTTCTTGCGGCGCGTTGACCTCTCTCAGCAGCCATCTGGGGTCATCGGTGAACGGACTCCGCCGCTCATCCATGGGTTGGCTTCGAAACTCTCGATTTGGGTCTTAAACCATCGGGTCCGGCTAGGGTTCGGCAGATCCCTTTTTTGCGAATGGACCGCCGGTGTTTCGATTGGCTGGGGCTTGGCGGAGAGTGGAGCCAGTGAATGGGTGAGGCTTCTGTCGCCTTTGTCGGTTTGGTTGAGGTGACTCTACTCGTCGGAATCGGAGGATTAGAATCGGAGAATTGGTCGATCTGCAATGCGCTGTTTCGTTGGTGGAATGATGATTGTCGGAGATGAGCTTCTTGGTCTAATATTGGTCTGCAAGTAGAGTGTCGATTGCTCGCCAGTCTCGATTGGGGGTGAGTTTTCTATTATTGTTGCTCTTGTCTCGGTTTTTCTTTTGACTGCGATTGGCAGGATTCCTCTTTCCTTCCGGCCTGTTGGGGTGTGCTAGTTCGATCGGGCTATGGCGGGTCGGCTGAGGCTAGAAATGGCGATCTTTTTTCCCATCTTCTCTTTCTCTAATTCTGCGACTGAAGGAGGCCGATTGTTTCTGGAGCTGGCTAGTGGTGTTAGGCGGCTTCTGGACGACGCAGGATTCGGCTACTGGTGTTTGCCGGGTGGGCAGAGATTGTCGTTTCTAGTGATTGGAGTACGGGTCAGTTCTTTGGTTTGTTCTTGCAGCGTGGGTCTTCGTCTTTTCTAGGTATTTCGCAGTGGCGGGCGTGGTTCCTGTGCTTCGGATCTTTCTTCGGAGTCAGCTTGTTTGCTAGCCGCACTCGGAAGTCTCTGCTGAGGGAGGGTTGTGTTTTAGTTGTAGTTTTTTAGTGTGTTTTTTGTTGGTTGTTTAGTTTGTGTTGTCTTGTTTGTGTCTGTGTTGTTATTGTTTTTTAGATTTGGACCGTTGGCCTCGGTTAGCCCGATTGTGACTTTATTATCCTGTTGGGATCGTACACTCGGGCATTACCCTGTTGGGGTCTTTTCAGTTTTCTAGTCTTTTTGTGTGTTAGCGTTTTGCGTGTTCGTGAGTATTACCCCGTTGGGTTCGGCTCTAGGCGGTCTTGGACTGTTCTACCATTTTATTCAGCTGTTGGCTGTTTGTATTCAGCTGGTGGCTGTACTTTTGCACATTTGTGCGATTTATATACAATATCTCTATAGTTTCGGGAAAAAAAAAAATCCTTATGGACTAAATATGCACCAATAATATAAATTAAGTATGCACTGTTTATGAACTAAATATGCACCTGTTATGAACTAAATATGCATCATGAATAAACTAAATACGCAACAAATATATGCAATAAAATGTGCATTTTATATAATTAATTTAAATATAATAATTATTAATTTTTATTATATAATCAATTGATTAATATAATTCATTGATCTACCCAAATAAATAACTGTGATTGGATCTCACATGAACTAAATATGCACTTTTGATGAACTAAATATGCATCATGAATAAACTAAATATGCATTATTATTTATTTAATTTAAATATAACAAATATGCATTTCGTATTAACTAAATATGCAACATCAATGAACTAAATATGTATCATGAATGAACTAAATATTCATCATGAATTAATTAAATATGCATCAATATATATTTAATTTGGATATAACAAATATGCATTTCGTATTAATTAAATATGCATCATCAATGAAGTAAATATGTATCATGAATGAACTAAATATGCATAATGAATGAACTAAATATGCATCAGTATATTTAATTTAAATATAAAATATATGCATTTCGTTACCTAAATATACATCATCAATGAACTAAATATGGATCATGAATTAACTAAATATGCATCATTACATATTTAATTTAAATATAATAAATATGCATTTATTAACTAAATATGCATCATCAATGAACTAAATATGCATAATGATTTAACTAAATATGCTTCATTATATATTTAATTTAAGTATAACAAATATGCTATGGATGCACTAAATATGCATTTCGTATGAACTAAATATGCATCGTGAATTAAATATATATGCATCATTATATATTAATTTAACTATGAGAAATATGCACTATGGATGAACTGAATATGCATCATAAAGGAACTAAATATGCATCATGAAATGACTAAAGATGCATCATTATAGATATAATATAAATATAACAAATATGCACTATGGATGAGCTAAATATGCATTTCGTATGAACTAAATATGCATTATGAATTAACTAAATATGCATCATTATATATTTTAATTTAAATATAACAAATATGCACTATGGATGAACTAAATATGTATTTCGTTTGAACAAAATATGCATCATTATATATTTAATTTAAATATAACAATTATGCATATCGTATTAGCTAACTATGCATGAACTTAATATGCATCTAGAACAAACTGAATATGCACATGTATATATTTAAGTTAAATATAATAAATATGCACTATGAATGAACTAAATATGCATTTTGTATTAACTAAATATGCATCATCTACGAACTAAATATGCATCATGAATTAACTAAATATGCAATATTATATATTTAATTTACATATACCAAATATGCACTATGGATGAACTAAGTATGTATTTCGTATGAACTAAATATGAATCATTATATAGTTAAATACAAAAAATATGCATTATGGATGAACTAAATATGCATTTCGTACGAACTCAATATGCATCATGAATGAACAAAATATGCACATGGATATTTAATTTAAATATAACAAATTTGCATCATGGATGAACTAAATATATATGCATTTGAACAAAATATGCATCATGAATTAACTAAATATGCATTTGAAGAAAATATGCATCATGAATGGACTAAATATGCATTTGTTATTATCAATTAAGTATGCAATATTTAAAACTAAAATATGCATTTGTTATTGTCAATACATCATTTGTAGATAACTATGGATGGCTCCATAAGCCGAGCCATCCAATGGCTCCATAGCAAAACCGAAATACAGAAATGTTATGGAGCCATCGAATGGTTCTTTTATGGAGCCATCCATAACTTTGTGTATTGACACGTGTCCAATATGTATTTATTACAGGACACGTGTCAATACATCATTTGTGGATAACTATGGATGGCTCCATAAGCCGAGCCATCCAATGGCTCCATAGCAAAACCGTACCTAAATATACACAAGAAATAAATTAAATATGCATTAAGTAAATAATAAAACAGTTAAGGGCTAGATTGAAGTTTTTCAAACTTTAAATAAATTATAGATTGACCCTAAGGATCAAATTGCAATAACTCATAAATTTATGAAATTGCAACTTGATCTCTAGGTTTTATCTAATTTTCAGCATAAGTCGTTGCCCCAAATCTGATTCACGAGCTTGACGTCCGATCCCTAGGTAAGAGTTGTTTTTAACCTTCTATGTCAGTTTAGATGTATTACAGAATAAGTTCCTTTTGCAGCACACATGGTTCTTATTTATATGTAGGGATAATTACAACTAGCCTCTCTCTATTTTAACATCGTATCAAATCTCAAGGTTTTAAATTTCTGGTATTTCGTGATTTTTTTCCTTTAATTTTTGTAACTACTCTAGACCAGGGTAAATTTTGTAATAATTGTCCCTTTTATTTCTCCCTCGTAGCACCTGGATTATGCTTGAAAATGACCTGAACACCTGATGCTTCTCAATGTGAGACACACACTTAAGCTGGGAAGGTCTCGTCGGCCAAAAATTGGCAAGGTTCGTCGGCCTCGAGGAGGTCTCCTCGGTTTGGGCGTCTAGATCCCGCGCCACCACACCGCCGGCGAGATGCAGAAGGCGGCGACACTCCAGAGACGACGCCGGAAATGAGCGGTGAAATGAAGTTGACCGGTCACCGGCGGTCACCCACCGGCCGATCAAGTCAATTTAATATTTTTTATTATTTAAATAATTTTAATATAATAATTATTATTTTTTATTATATAAGTAATGTAATTACAATTGATTTATATGAGCAATTGATCTACACGAAATTAATAGGTAGGATTGAGTCTCACGTACTCATTTTAAGAGCATCTCAAATGCCTCAACGTTAAAGTTAAAATTTCTTGCCACATGCCTCAACGTTAAAGTTAAAATTTCTTGCCACATGGTGATAAATAATTGGACTGTGATTTCATAAGAAAGCACTATTGTATGTTGATGTTAAAGTTCTTGTGGATGAAGGATCGAGTCACTTGAATTCTCATGTCCTAGGAAATTTTCTAGTGTCCCCGCCATTTGCGTTTCTGTTTTCTATTGCTACTAAGGGTGTTATACGGGCATTCGAGTTAATAGAATTCCCGAAATTCAAGAGTCATTGCTAGTTGAAGAAGACTCAGATTCTCTTAAGATCACTCCTTATAACGAAGCCGGCCTTTTCAATTTAATCACTCTTTCATGGCTGAACCCTTATATCCCTTATATTTGATGATGTGTCTTGTTGAAGAGCCTTTCTAGATGCAGAAAGTGAGGTTAACGATGCTATCGCCTGTCATTATAACATGACCTACAAAATAGTCAATTAGAGCAAATAATATAGAGAAAGTGTCTACGACGTCTAATTTTTATCTGTCTAACAGTTCTATTGGAGATGCTCTAAGGAGGGGTCTCAGTGGATCCACCCCTATGCAAGAATATATAATTGTTGAATATGAACCTTTCAATTATGCGGTGGATTTTGATATGCGATTACAATATATGCAGAAGCATTTATCCGTCCGATTTAGATATGAATTGATATCAATTTATGAGTTTTTGGGTGAAAAATATTTATTTGATGGAATAATGTGTAAAAGAAAGACCGTGTATATATAGAGGTGTAAAAGACATTTGCCCCATATAGAGTATATAATTGTTGGATATGAACCTGCCAATTCCACTACTGGTATTATTATGCGATCTACACACCGCCTGAATTCAATGCATTAGTATAAAATTGAGAAAGAATTTTCATTATTTTAATAATGATTGATTACAATGATAAAAAATATGAAGTCTAGATGGACAAAAATTCGGCTAAATATTAATATTCGTCCCAAAACAAACTAATACCAAACCAAAATAATCGACTATTTAATTGGTGTACACAAATTAAACTAAACAATCAAAATGATTTATATTACTTATATTATAAAAATATATTTAGTATTTTAATATTTTTTATTTAATATATGTATATTATTTTTGGTTGAAAATACCAAATATATATAAAACAATAAGTAATTATATTTTTTATAGAGTTCGGTTAGTTCGATTATTCTTTTAAAAAATAAAGTGGTCATATAACCTTAATTTTAAAATAAAATACAGATAGTAGGACCGACATATACAAAATTCAAATATATTAGTTCAGTTGTTTCGATTGCTATTGTTCAATCGGCAAGTCATTAACATGAAGTCTATTAGTCATCAATGTACATTTAGTCTATCACAATTGTTTACTCACAACGCAGTTATATTTAATATGAATATACACATACATTGTGCATTTTATTTACCATTAATATGCATCTATTAAACTTTCTATAAATTATAAATTTGGCACAGGAACCAAATTGATATATAATAAAAGTGAATGAAATTATAGTCAGAGCCCTGAAAATTATTTAATTTTCAAACAAATGCCCTAATCCTAAAATCATCTTCATCTACATCCACCATTCCACCATCGCGGTTTAGCCCTCTCCGGCCAATGTGTTCCGCGCCTTTGTTGTTCGCCCTGTAAGTGGGTGAAATCACCTCAGGTATGTTAGTTTTTTTTTTTTTTTTTTTTTTTTTTTTTTTTTTTTGAGATCCTCCATTAAAGCTCGACCTTCGAGCTCGAAGGTCAATTTTCAGGTGTCGGCGACCGCTGCAACTGAATCGACGAGGCATATTAAGGACAACTGAGACGCTGGGGTTGGTTGCCGGTGACAGAGCTTCATGGTGGAAGTTGATGTCGGACATGATGAGTTTAACGGTGGAAAATCGGAGCTCCACCACGTCCGGAGCATAGATGTACCTGGGCGATGTGCGGCGACGATGCCCACGAGAGTCGAGCGACGATGCCAATGAGAGTTGGGCGGCGGGAGGTACGCCGACGAGAGTCGGGGCAGCGATGGAAGTGATGCGACGAATGAGACACGGCAGTGCTGCGGCAAAGAGCGACGGCGGAGAACGACTCTGGTGATGCAGCGGCACTGTGAGCGATGGTTGGAGGCCCGTTCGAGCTCTATGTATTAGGTGTGTGTGTGTGTGTGTGTGAGAGAGAAAGAGAGAGAGAGAGAGAGAGAGAGAGAGAGAGAGAGAGTATTGGTGTATGTGCGCGTGTGATGTGATAGGTGTGTGTGTGTAATAAAGAGATAAATCAAATTAGGTGAGATGAGTTTGTTAGTGGTGGGTCCCACTAAGTTGAGTTGGTATTGGTATAATCTCCAAATTATCCTAATGAATGTACAAGTGATGTATTTTTTATGACCGTTGGATGATCAAATTTAACGTCTAAGATTTATTCTTAATAGAAGTGTGCTCAAATGAGAATGAGTCATAGTGAAAGAAATGAGAATTAATTTAGCCATTTGATATGTTTTTTCAATAGCTAAGATGAGGTCAACCATTAGTCAACGCGGTGGCATTTTAGTAAATATTTGAGATTTTCATGGTCAAGGTCTTGATGACTAAGGGCATTTATGCATTTTTTTAAGTGGTCCCCACCATTACCCTAATTACTTTACCAATCCCTTTCTTCCCCAACCCATCACACACTCACACACACTGCAGATGCACGCTGTCCGACAGCATGCTAACGCCATGCCGGTTATCGCTAGCTCCGCCAATCGCTGCCGATCGTCGCCAGAAGTTAGCGTCGACACATTCGTTGGTTGTGGTGCGGACGAGAACAGACGATGGTCGGTCTATGCTGTGAATAAGAAACAAACATGAAGGAAATCTGATTTTCAGATTATGAAATTTGATTTGAGGTTATATTTTTAGAAATTAGACAAACATGGGGGACCTATTTGCAAATTTTGAAATGTAATATATTTGCTCATGTCATGTGTATAGTTGCTTAATATTTGCACATAATAATATGAAAAATCCACAATATTATGTGAGGATATGCATATTAAAAAAAATAAAAGTATATAAAATGGAAAATAATTTTTATATATAGTTTGGTAAAATAAAATTTTGAATATTAATGTCGACATCGAAAAGAAATATTTAAAATTTTAAAAGTAAATTTATATTTAATTGAATCGAAATATAAATATTTGAACCGTAAAATTAGTTCGGTAAGTTTTGTTCACTAATGTGCAGTCTGATATACGTTAATGTGCAACTCGACTGGCATTATTGTGCACAGATTTAAGCGTTATGTATAATGACCGAATTTTGTCCCAAACCAAAATTGGAATTGAAGTGTATTATTTGGTTTATTCATTTGGTTAACCGGACAATCCTAAATTAGCAAAATAATTTATTATTATTATTAATAATATATTTAGTATATTTAATAAATTTATTTAATATTTAATACTATTTTTTTTTAAAAAAAACATAACATATTAAATCCCAAATTAATGTTGTGCACTTACACATACAATAATGTGCATTTCGTCTAACATTATTGATCAATATATTTGTGCGTGTATATGTTTATGTGCGTTTCATTTTTTATTTTTATTTTTTTAAAAATAATGTTTATTTTAATTAAATGATTGTGCACTTATCAAATTTTTCATATAATAAAATATTTTAGTATATATAAATTTTTTGAAATATTTTGTATTTTTTTATGTAAAAAATGAATAAAATATATAAATAAATTGTAAAAATAATATATTTTATATAATTCGAGCGATTATATTATTCATTTATTTATTTTCACATAAAGTTGAAATCAAGCTAAAATAAACAAAAAAAAATCAAATACTAAAATATTTTATATAACTAAATGATTGTGCACTTATTGAATTATTGTGCATTTGATATTATGTTGTCTGATACATTTTATTGTGAATCTTATTTAGTAATATTATGCATTGTGTGATGCGATATATCTTCTTTTTTCTCATTAGTTTATCAATTGAATTAACTTTAATAATCGAAATAAAATATTATGTATATTATAAACATTTATATAGTATATTAATATTTTTATTTCCTTTTTTTATATAAATTTTAATCGATATAATTGAAATTTTAAAATAAAAAACGTATAATGTAATCGATATACAAATTTCAAATAAAAAATTTTAGTTCGTTCGCATTAGGTTGTTACTGTGCATTCAATAAGTCATTAATATGCGATTCGTTTATTAGTATTGTGCATTCGCAGTGCGATAATATTTAATGGGAATATACACAATATATTTTTACATTTTATTTATCATTAATATGACTTTATTAAACTTTTTATAAATCACACATTTGACACATGAACCAAATTGAAATTTATTTAAAATTCATAAAATTGCAATTTAGTCCTTAAACATTATCTAATTTTAAAAAATTATACACAAGCCCAAACTGTTACTTCTTTGCTCCCACCACCCCCACGCGTCAGCTTCTCTGCCTGCCGACTTCCGGCGTCGCCCTCTTCAGCGGTCGCTTTCCGGCGATGTATTTTTTTTTTTTTTTTACAAAAACTGCCATTGAAGCTCGATGTTCGAGCTGGAAGGTCGATTTTCCGGCGCCAATGCATCTGAATCTAGGAGGTTTGTGCCGACCTTGGCGGTGGAGGATGATGCCGGAGACGACGACTTGAATGGCGGTGCGCCGCTCTTGTGAAGGTGGACGGAAATGGGCCGTGTGTGTTTGTTGTTGTACTCGTAAACAGCATAAATGGCGGTTCCGACGGTGGCGGGATGAACGGCATTGGCGGCGGAGCAGTGGTCTGTTTGTAGTATTTTTAGGTAAGTGGTAACCGAGCTACCCGACCTCGGGTCGTTCTCAAAGGAAGGCTATTCGGAACTTCGTTCACTACCTAGTCGTCGAAGTCACATAACAAAAAACAAGGTCCTACACATTCTACTCTCTTGAAGGGATTGGATTTGCATAAAATTAAACTTAAAATTAGAGCAAGCGATGAAAAATGCAAGATTGGGGAGAACGATCGAAACTTTGGTAGCACGGAGTATCCATAACTCAAGAAAACAAAAATGAACAAAGAGAAAACATGCGAGCAAAGTGATCCTAGGTAACCGAACACGAGATTTCTAAACTAAATCATCACGCCTTGAACAAAGTCGAGACCTTTATACTAGATAAGCACGTATTGATTCCTAACACACGAAGCAAGCAATGAAAATAAAGCAAAAACCTAGAAACGAGCATAAACACAAAATTCGAAGAACAAACTCGAAGTAGTAAGTCCTAAGCAAGGTACTTACTCTCCTATCACGTGCCCGGACGAAAATAATGAATAAAGCTCGGAAATTGGATAAA